TATTGTTTTTTTTTAACTAAATGACATCTCTTACCAATACCACAACGTTGTTGATACTTCACGTTGGTGAGCCTTGATTTTCGCGGTGCCGTTTTACCTCTTCACAACATCGCTTGATTCCAAATAGTGTCATTTTTTATAAATCGACATCGAATTAAATAGCAAGACTCATTAATGCGGCATTTAATTTAGAGCAAATTAATTTTGGGTGTCAACAAATACCCAACTTAAACAACCCAAAATAATTAGGTTAAACCTACCCACAAAGCTGCCAATAACAAAACAAAGGTGTTAACAGCCAAAACACAAATCCTTGGCCTTGAAATTGCAACGTGTGCAACGTTGCTTCTGGATAGTTGCTTTTCATTTATTTATTTACTAGCATCAGGCCCGACCCGTTGGCCGGTGGAATTCGATGATGCTGAAATAACATTCACATATAGAACCAAGAAATGAACAAACTACCTGGGAAGGAAGCAACTCAATTCCCATAGGTTCCAGCAGCAGAATCTCTGGAAGTGCAAAATGATGTTGTCCAAAAGTTGTAGCTTAGAGTACCTGCTGCTAAGAAAAATAGAAAACCTAGGTGGCTTTGCCAAATACATGGATAATGAACTGCTAATGTAATAAACCTGAAGATAATATTATTTCCCATTCAAATTCATATTGTCTTTGGAAACTGACAAAATGAATTTATGTACAATCTAAAGTCCCAAATTTCATAAAATAAAGCATCCATAAAGAACTCATATATGAGCAATAAAATGCTAGACATAAGTTTCACAGCCAAGAACTTAGTAATAATTGAAATTTCTAGAATCCAACACTACTTCTCTTCCTCATCAGAATCAACCACGTGGGCCTTCTTTTTCCTCTTGAAGTTATTCTCTTCGGTAGCTTCAGGACTTGCAGTGCTATCCTCCAAGTTTGCATCAACCAAATCAGGGCTAATTTCCTACTGTTGGCATGAAATGAAGTTTGGGATGCATGTGACTTCTCACTGAGTTGCTGCAAAAGTTATTAGAGTAATAAGAGAAAGGAATGAATGACTCTTATCTCTAAATGAAAGTGACACTGAACCTGCCGTCATTACCTCAAAAGGATCATGTTCTATGCAAGCCACAGTATATTCGCTTGAGGGTTGATGAAGTTGAATTGGGTTAGTTTAACATACACTTTCAATTTCATGCTAACAACTTGCTCAATCTGCTGGGGAATTGGTTCCTTCTTCCTCTGATTTCCTTGGAATAAAACATACGCCAAAGAAGCGCAGTCCTTCATGCTCCAAAATTGCAAAATCAGCTTCACCAGAATCATCCTGCAACTGAAGCTTCACTCTATACCTATATCAAAAATTATTTTCAATTCATGCGTGAGTAAAGTCGAAATCTGAAGCTATGATTGAAGTTCATGCTTCCTATCAAATTGCCATAACTAAGACAAACAAACTTATGTTGTTCCTTTGCTATTAGTTTGTTCTATCAATTGTAGTAGTTGTCCGAAGGTGAGTGTTATTGTTTTTTGTATAAACACACAAATGCCTATTAAACGCAAATGACAGCAAGTTGTAACTTCTTTCATTTCAGTAAACCACATAATAATTTGATTGTGTTAAAAAAAAACCGCAAACTCCAATTATAAGCAACCCATGGCAAGCTAAAATTATTTCTGTTTTGATTAAATCACATATATTACAATGTAAATGAAGAGCAAGTTGCTTACTAAGACCCCATAAATGAAAAGCAAACTACTGAACTCATTCTTTATAATCGGAACCACCTTATATCAAACATGATCCTAGCAATACTGTTGAAGGTCAAAAGTAACCACATTGCAACATTGTGATAGTAGCTAAAAAACTTACTTGGCAGCTGCACTTTTAGAGGTGGTATTGCAGTGTCCGCAAAAATACTCATCCAAGTCCTCTTCCACTTTGCGAGGGCAGCCAACACAGCCCATGTAAAACCAATTGGATCGTACTTGAATGACTTGACCTTCAACAGCAAACACTTGATCCTGAGATTTACATAAAGTTCAACTCAATAATAGCTATATTAGAAATTTCAAATGATTTTTATGACTTGTAAAGAAAAACTTACAGTTTTATCTTCCATAGTTTTGAATTCGTTAAGCTGAGCTATGGAAAAATTTTGAACCTCAGGGGCTGTTTCCTCAACAAGCAGGACATGTGCATTCAACCTGCCATCCCTAGAATGCAGAAAAAATGCTATCAAATTCATATCCTAACTACTAAAATAAGCATGTAACTAAATACACAAACCGCAAATCAAATTTCTGCACTTCTGGTATATCCAGATTTGCCTTCAAAACTGTAGCCCTTGTGGACGATAGACAAAGCTCCCCTATTATAAGAGAAATGGTGGTATTAGTTTACTGTAACAGATTTGTGAAGGCACTGAAATGAAAAAGGTTTGATTGAATATCACCTTTATATTCGTCAACAAAAACTGAGGTAACAGTGAGAATCACTGGTCGAACTTCACTGTGGGAGACAATATCATCTAGTTGGTTGCCAATACTTCCCCATAAAGTCACCCTTACCATCTCACCTCTGTCTATAAATAAACAGTGAGCAAATTAAAATTATTCTCAAGGATGCATAAACAAAAGCAATGAAGCGAAAAAGCTGAATTACAGTTACGTACTCAATCAATTTGAGTGTGATATCTTTCCAACGTTTTGTTGCTGAGATTTTGGAGGTGACTGCAGAATGTTGAACCAATTGGCCAACCACATCTGCACTATAGAAAAACATGATAAAGTTAACATTTGAAAGAGGGCAGTTTGTACATGACCACCAACAAAAGTACCACTTACCTGATAAATTCTTCTTGTCATACAGCCTCTGCATCATGTTAGAGTGCTTTAGAAAGTAAAACTTGTAGGACAGTATGCTTGGAAAACTTTTCACATGTTGGACCAAAGTTGCTGAATCAAACTCTAACATCAAACGATTGGGCACTGGCCTGAATGCGTTCTTCGCAAGAGCAACTTTGAAATGTCTAATCTCATAGACTTCTTGCTCTTTCAAAGTCGATTCAAACTTTGGAATCAGAAATGGAGGAATCATAGCCCAAATATCTGACCCCTAAAACAGAAATAAATAATCATAAGGGATGGCTAGTTATAGCAGATTTAGCTATGAAACTGGTTTGAAGAAAGTGTAACTCTGAATCGATGAGGACCAAGCCCAAATGCAGAAGCTTTCCAGTGTTGCAGTTTGTTGCTATCCACTTCCGAGAGACCCGAGTTTGAATGATCCATTTCCGCGAATTGGTGGAGAGATCCTTCAGCAGCGACAGTGCCATCTTGTTCTCTCAATTGCTTATGGGTAAAAGGGGAAGAGAATGGGTGTAAGGGAAAGGTTCTTTTTGCTGGAAGAACTTGTCCTTTTATAGCCTCCTCCAGCCGTGAAACCATCCCACCCACGTTTGTAACCACCGAAACATACAAAAAAGGCGATTGTAGCCTGCAGAAAGAGATCGGTGATAACCGTCTGCATACCACTTCTATGAAACCTAGGTGAATACTCGCCAAACGGAATAAGAAAATTCAAATCTTGTGCTCCACAGCTAAACCACCAATCAACCATCCGTGAGCTGAAAACTACGACTGATTTTCCCCCTTAATGAACCCTTCCAATACTTATCTAACTACTGCTTTGCTATAGACGGAGTGATGGCGGCCATCGCTGCAGCGGACGGACTGCCGGTAGACATCGGTGCGGCGGACAGATTGGTGCCAGAAATCCGGTGTGGCAGACAGATTGGTTGCGAACATTGGTGTGACGGATTTATGTCTGAATGTTATATCCCTCACTGAAACAAATCAGATCGGGAAATACCAATACCCCCTTCTCCCCTGACGATGGGCTGGCAAATAAAGATGGGCTTCACTTAGCCCATTCCAAACAATTTTATGTTCATCAGAATATAAGAACACGGCTAATGGCTGGGCTGGATTAAAAAAAATTCTATAGATCTGCTTCAATCTGCTCGATGAAAGCCCATTGAGTTATGGAATCATAATTTTGTTATTGTTTTCATTGGATCCATTCCATCATGTTTTATCGAAGGTATAATAATTTTGTTTTAATCCATTAAGTTTACTTTACAAAATTCAATGGTTAAAACCTCAGACCATAACGAATAAAAAGGAATAAAACGGGCCTTCTTCTTATTCTTCTTGTTGGGCTCAGCCTTCATGGTTGGGTCAGAGAAATTTATAAGATGGCTCTATAGGCCTTCCAAAACTGATTTCATGGATTCTCTTGTTCTGCTTGGTCGACTCTATGACCAACTCGATTTGACCACCCGTGCGAGCCGTCATTGTACTAGATTGGCCTTGAACGGCACATCCGCAGAATCACCAACTAGCTCGTTTGCGACTGGCTCTTCACTCTCCTCATCTAAAGTGATTTGAGCAAAACCGCTCACCAGCTCAGCAACGTTGACATCTTGAGCAACTTCATCGACCTCTTCAACTTCTATCACAAACTCGCCATTCTCTCCCTGATTTTCCAAATCAATGTGGAAAATCAAAGGCAAGATGTAGTTGTTCACCACTACAGGTGGTAGTCTTCCAAACTGGATCGTTATGGGTGCACCTTGGTTGTCATCATCGTTATCCTTGTTTTTTCGATCAAATTTTGACCTCGACTCATCCAATTCCAACATCTCCTCTTCGATGAAGGAGTCATCCAACTCAGCATCGTACTCAGCCTATCTCGAGACTCCCTGGTTGTTCCCATCTAGATTGTTCTCGACAACTTTTTCAGCACCCACCACGGTCACTCTCAGACCCGTGGCAGAGTTGTCCACATTGATATTTGTTTGCAAGTTTCCAATCCTCATTCATTGAGCATTCTTGCGGAGGTACCTTTGATACTGCGTCCTTGTCATCCCATTCTCCATATACATCGATCTTCTTCGATCTTATTACTCATCTCATTTATCCATTTGCTGCAATTTGACATAGAAATGAAGGGTTTGTTGTTCGGTGCAATTGTTTGCCTGTTGGTGCTTCTACCAGCTGCATTGAGTCATGATCCCGAGCCTTCCCCTTCTTCCCCTAAGAAGGGCAGAGTTGCTAACTATCGCATGTCCGATGGCTTAGGAACGCCCACCGAAGCTTGTGGCTACGCCAAAACAGACATAACTTACAACTACGGCAACGTCGCAGCTGCCTTAAGTAACCTTTGGAAGACGGAGCTGCTTGTGGCGCCTGCTAACAGGTCAAGTGCGGTACAAAAGGCTTATGCAACAACCTTGGATTAAACATAGTGGTAACAGATCACGGTGATGGAGACAACATGAACTTCGTCATGAGCTAGCACGCCTTTGAAAGCATGGCTCTCCCGAAGAAGGCTTCCCAATTGGCACGATTCGAGTTTATTAAAATCGAACTACAAACGGGATCGACGTTCAAAGACTCGATCAAGTAGTGGATCGAGGGACCTCAACTTGATCAAAGGTGGATCGATCACCAAAAAATCGATCAAGCTAGATCGATGTAGCCGGACTTGATCTGCACATGCATCGAGTTTGTTGGACTCGATCTTGGTTGATCGTTGTTGTATCACTCGATCCATATGAATTATCACATGATAATTATTGGTGGCACTAGATCGAGGATTATAGACTCGAACTTGTGTAGTTCGAGTGCTTGTGGCTCGAACCACTTTCCAATTATTCTGCCAAGTCATTTTCTGCCCGACATGCTTCGTGATAGGGTATAGGGATAAGATTGGATCGAGTCCCTTGCACTCAAACTGCACTAGTTCGACGAACACGGCCTTGAACCATGTCATTAGTTTACGAAAATAAAAACCAAACATTCAGCACATTCTGGCAGCTCATATACTTTCTATCTTCTTTCTTACAAAAACAAACTGCAGCAGCTGGGGCACCATAGCTGAGCAAAGAAGAAGCATTTTGGAGGTAAGTTCTTATTATGCTGGTGAGTGAGCATTAGAATTTTGGGTTATTTTAGTACTGTTTGAACTGTATGTAATGGGTTGTTTCTATAAATTGCATAAATGGGTAGAAAATTTCAAAAATTCGACCTATTGATTTAGTGGAATGGTCGAATTACATATTTTCATAATAGTATTAACTATGAAGATGGTGAATCAAGGACTGTTCAGATTGAGAGCATATTTACTTGGCAAGATCTCTGCCACATTTGTGGAGAATATTTACTTGCATACCTTTTTTGGTATGGTACATGGTTCGTTGAACGCTATCAAGCGGCATATAAGATACTGAATGCTGGAAACTACATCCCACAGAAGATTACGGATGACATGAAACCATGGTCGGAAAGGGAAAAATGACATAAGGTGACTTTATTCAGTCCAAGAGATTCCCGCTAAGTAGTAGAAACAAGAAGGTCACCAGACAGTTCAAAGGGATCAGTAATGCTCAGAAAGTTACACTGGATGCAAGGAATGGAACAAGAGAGTGTACTTGCGGGAAGTTTCAAGGGAGACACCTGCCTTGGCCCCATTATGGACCTGTAGTGTACCCTCCCGAGCACAGGAAGCGTACCAAAGGTCGACCTAGAGTTTAGCGGATTGAAAATGAGATTGATAGATCAAGGAGACAGCGACGTGGCTCGAAGAAGTGCTCTGCATGTCGAGTCGAAGGGCATGATAGGTGCCAGTGTCTAGGGCCATAAGCTGACAATTAAAGTTTGTTGTAATTTGAGGACTTTATGTTGTAAGTTCGGACTTTATGTTGTAATTTGAGGACTTTATGTTGTGATTGCAAAATTTACGATGTAATTTGAATTTTATGTTGTAGTTTGAGGACTTATAGCTCAAGTCTTTGGATTTTATGATGCAATTTGAAATTTTAGTTGTAATTTAAGGACTTTATGTTGTAATTTGAAGACTAGATATTATGGAAACTAATGTAACTGAAAACATACAGAAAACTCTAGAAAATTAGAACAACTCGAACATATAGGCAAACTCTAGAAAATAGAACAACTCGAACATACGGACAACTCTAGAAAATAGCACAACTCGATAATAGAACAACTCTAGAAATCACTCCACTCACTCTTGTGCACCACGTCCGCGTCCCTCTCGTCGAGCTCTATTTCTTTCACGAACTCCATGTCCAATTGGAGTATGTCGAGGCAGTGGAGGTGGCGTTGCAGTAGCTAGGGTAGAATAGTAGACATGGCCCATTGGAGGCTGGAAGCTTTGCTGCAAGGTTTGGAATTGAGGTTGAGGATACCCATAATATGGGGGGATCATAGTTGGCTCCTCCCCCTTGTTGAGCCGAACTTGATGATCCCTCTACGAATTTTCTTATGACGGGGGGAATCCAAAATCGTATGGGTTAGAAAGTGCACCTCTTCTCGTACTCGGACAGGGTATCTAATTGGCTCTTGCCAACATTTACTCCTCTTTGGTGGCGATGGCGGGAGGGATTCAACTTCAATAGCATGGGAGGAAGGACGTGGTGGTGCAGGTGGATATGCAATGACATCCCTTCGAATTTCCCGCTAACATGACAAGAGATTCTTGAAGAGCTTCTTCAAGAATGAAAATTTCTCATGCCACAAAGTTGGTTCTGATTCACTCTCTAGGGTCATTAACGCAAGTTCCAACCCATCAACCTAATTAACGAACACGTTAGTCAAATACTCTTTGTGTAGCTAAAGTAAATAAGGGGAAAATATATGCATTCTTACCAACAAACCGATCACGGCATCACGTTTGGTTATCCATCTTTTTGTGAACTTGCGGTACCAAACCATGTATTCATTTTGGTACCCCATTGGCCCTGTCATTGGGATTCCATCAATTGGAAACATATGACGAGCCTCCCTCATACCAATTCATACTTGGTGCTTGGTTAGCCCATCACTGACTATATCTCGCAAATCCTTGTTGTATTTATGGAGTGACTTATATATGTCCGTGGTAGGAGAGGAATCGGTTGCCCCCAATTATGTTGTCGGCCACATCTATCTGGTAGGTGCCACTCGACAATGTTGTGGCAAATCATAGACAATTTGCACGAACAGAGTCGACGATCCTCAGTGAATCGCAACTCGTACATCTCCTTTGATCCGTTCGGAGATGGATCTCACTCCACCTAAGTTTCAACAAATAAATTAACGTCCATACAAATAATTTCAACAAATAAAATAACATTCGTATTCATAAAAATAAATTAATGGGCAAGACAAATCATTTCAAAAAATAAAATAGGATTCATATTCATAAAAATTAATTAATAGCCAAGACAAATAATTTCAATAAATAAATAGCATTCATATTCATAAAAATAAATTAATGGGCAAGACACATAATTTCAACAACTAAAATAACATTCATAAACTAGAACGTTACCAAGTTGAACTCTATAATATCAAGATGTTGGCGGTACCCGGCTAGTGAGCGTGATAGCTCAAATCCATCTAGCATCATAAGCCGCTTGTCTTAGTGGCTCTTCGGGACCTGTCACGAACCGTAATGTCGTGACCGTGTTGACCGTTTGAAGAATGATGACATCTGGTTGTCTTACCACAAAAGGGGTAAAGGGAGCGACATTAGCGATAAGGCGTTGTCTGCCTGTGCATCATTCTGGCCGAGTCAGGATGTGATTATGAAGGTGATCGTTGCAAGCGAAGGCACAACTGATCGGAGGCTATTGTCGTCTCCCTGATGAGCCCAAAGCAGGGCGAAACCAGTTGGCATGCTTATGCGGAGAGGATGATCTTGAGGGACGAGTGCACCTCAAGACGCCGCACGGGCTTCGGAAGTCTTTCGCTTCTGCCAAGACAACCAGATGGCAGCGTTCTTCAAACGATCAACACGGTCACGACATTCCGGTTCGTGACAGACCGTAACTATCGGCAGGGCAGATCAGAGCGAAATTTAGAACGTGCTCCCAAATCCATAGTTGGAGGATGAACATGGCACCACACGCTTGCTTTGTTTTCGGGTCCGTACACTTGCACAACTCCACATATATCATCGTCAAACAAGTAGATCCCCAACCTTTTCTCCCAATCTCGTCCCAATCTCACAAAGGAGTCACATACAATACATATTTTCACCAGACTTGTTCGAAAACAAAAATCCTCCAACCAAACAAATCAGGTAGATGCGAGCATACATTTTTATCCGAGCATCTGTGCCATCCTCCGACAACGAACCAACAGTCCTCACTAGCCAAGGAATCGATAGCATAGACTTGTGTAGAGGTGGTACACGACGACCTTGTGGTGCTTCCTCGAAGATGTTGATGCCTAAATGCTCGTTAATGAATTGGCCTCAACCATTCAATGGGTTCTGTGAACTCTCTATTAAGGTATCACCATTGATTGGAAGCTCTGTCAGCATGGCCACGTCCTTCAACGTAATCGTCATCTCTCCCTCTATAAGGTGAAATCTTTCCTCCACCTTCCCACCATTGACGTAAGAAGGTTGTTGTTCATCTCTATCCCCACAAAGTTTCACACCCTGGGCAATCCCGCTCTTTCCAATGAAGGGCTCGATCCGAACATCCCATTCAGGCAAGCGAGATAGCGACCGATGTGTGATTACGTCAAGTTATTCCTGTAGAAAAAAACCTTAATTATTATACGAAAAAATTAAAAGAATAATATTGCATTTAAAAAAATAAAAGGTACATGAGGAAATGCTTGCCGGGTCTGCCGCCCAAACACTTTCAGACTGATGGTAAGGTTGTTCATCCAACAAATTGGTTTCTCGCGGTTCGTCTTGAATGTATAATCTAAGATCGTAAATACTTGGGTTGATCTCGGCAATTTGAGTGATAAAGATACCAAACTAAAGAAAAAAAATTTGATGCGAAAGATCGAGTTACCCGCAAACACATAGCATTTTTTCTTCAAGAGTGGTGGAAGGAAGAGGAAGAAGAGTGGAGTGGTGTGAGTTTGGTCGAATGGGGGGGGGGTATTTATAGGTTATGTGGGAGGTAGTGGATCGAGTGAAGGAAGCTCGAACCACTAGATCGAGTCTTCTGCCATCAATCCTCGTCAATACCAGTCATAGAAGAGAAAATCGAACGAATGAGATTGAGTCCTGGACACTCAATCTACGATGGAGCGTGTCCGACGTCATCGATCCCTGTCAACTGATCGAGTCCCAATGCGTCGATCAGGGTTGATCGAGTTTTTTGCACTCGATCTGTGTCACAACTAGTTCGCGGCAGAGGGAATTGAACAAACTGGATCGAATTTCGCAAACTCGATCAAGGGTGGAGTGCGTCCAACGTCATCGATCCATGTCAACTGGATCGACTCCCCCTTCGTCGATCTACTTTGATCAAGTTTCCCACATTCGATCTGTGTCGCCGGGTCTCAGTCAATCGTGGCCCTTCCAGTTGATGCTTATGGATTGATGATATGGCAATGGATCCGGTTTTAGTTCGAGTATCTTGAACTCAGATCTGTGCCAAACTTTGGTATTTTGGGAAATTTTTAGGTTTAATACACTTGTATATCCAAAACTTTAACGGTTGTGCCAATAATATCCAAATTTCCCGGAATACCACTTATATCCATGTTTTAAAGTTGTTCTTTGCCAAATCTATCCATTTCCCAATATATTTTTGGTTAAATACACTTGTATATCCAAAAACACCGTTAAAGAATGTGAAGGAATTGGATATAAGTGTTATTTCGGGAAATTTGGATATTATTGGCACAACCGTGAAAGTTTCGGATATACAAGTGTATTTAACCAAATTTTTATAAAAACTTATGTACTGTACGATTTTTTTAATGTATTTAGGGGAAAAAATCGGTGGATGGATGAGTGAAAGAATGGAAGGACATGAGGAATGCATACGGCGCCGTTTACGATTTGCCTAATCCATCGAAGGATCCGATTTCGCTCAAAGTGAAACTCAAGAATACTAGATTAGGAGGAGGAGCTGTGAAAGTCATCAAGCTGGATAACATTATTCCCCGTTACTGGAAGGCTGGAGTTGCTTAAGTTAATGAGTTGGCGATCAAGTAGCTTATTCTTGTCGTTGCTCTTTTCTAATTAATTGTGTGTTCGTGCAATAAAACAGGTGGGTATACTTTGAAGACACCTAATCTTTGTAATAATGATGAAAATATGTATAATAAGCATCTTGTTTAATTTGAGATATTTCCCAAAATGCTAAACCTACTTACTTAAAAAAATCTCAAATACCGCACACTAAAATTTACCAAAATACTACAATTTGGAATGGTTTGCTTGACACTAAAGCAAACTAGTAAATGAATCGCACCGGAATTAAACGAGTTATGTTGTTTGGTGGAATGTAAAACTTACAAGAAGCAGTTCGGTGAGAAGATGGGCGATCCATGTGGTTCACGCTGGAGCAAGGCGATTGGTCTAGACCGGATGGCACGAATTGCTCCTGTCTAGCACGATTCACGGCGCGTGGCAGCTAATTGCTCCTGTCTAGCATGATAATTATGATAGAACCTGAAAATTAGGTTTCTATCAATTATGCAGCAACATTAAATCCAAAATGTACCCGACCCGACAGAATGGCAGAGCATCTTCAAAGATTGTGCTACAGTGGACTAGTCAAGCAAGAAGGCCATCTGACGATGGTTGCCGGATTGCCATATTAGACACCTTTATGAACGAATTATTCAGAGATCCAAATCTTTCAACTAATAGAATCATGCTCCCCCTTCAACTTACTTCTTCCTGCAACAATGACAGAACCGTCCTCCTCCCTCAGCTTATCCACAATCAGATACTATCACGAAGTGGGCAGCACAGCAACAACGTTCTTCTTCTGAACTCAATTCACTTTTCTTTTACGGGCTGAGAGCTTGATACTTGGTTTTTCATCAGAAGATCCTTTAAGAAAGTAGTCGACCACTTTGTAGGGTATGCTGTTTGATTTAATATCAAAAGGAGGCATGCTGTACGGCTGCAAATTCAAACACTTCAATATCGTAAAGGGAGAGGGCTGATGGTCCAGAGAGTCAGAAATCTCACTCAGCAACTGCACAGAAGAGAAGAAAGACTTAAAATGGAATATTACCCAGAAGGAGCCATTCACATTATGTACACACTAAACACCAAAGCATACCTTGACGATTGTTCGATCTAGGGTCAGAGTTTCTGCATTATGCAAACCTTGGAACAAGGAGGTCAAACATTGCTGCTCCCATGCCTTATTATCCGTACAGAGAATGAGAGAGGTATGGACATCAGCATGACGCAGGGAAGGAAGCTTTAACTCCAAGAATTCATGGCTCCATGATAGCCTGTAATCGCGAAGACTGAAGAATTCGAGTTTTGGTGCTTATACTTCAATCTTGGGAAGATAAAGACAATCCAGTTTCAGGCTAAGCAATTGGGCTCCATGTACTTTGAGACCCCTTTCCCAGTCAAGATTATAGGAATTTTCGTAGCAGTTGGACAGAACCAAATTCTTCAGACAGGGAAAGGCAGAGAAATGATCCAAGTCCACAACCTGATAAGCAGAAACCAGCCAGCATTTTTTCAAAACTAAAGTCGTCAGCATCGTGAAATCAGAAGATCCAAATCCGCCATCAATGTAGACACTGCTCAGTTCTAGAGTTTTGATTTCGCAATTCGAGATTGTGCCAAACAGATCGGAGAAACTGTATAAGTCCATATACGGATTAGGATCGCCCGAGTCGAGCACTAGATGTTGGGCATGATGGGACAATGCACATTTGATGACCTAGACAAAAACACCAAGTTTCTGTTTCTACTTCAGCTCCCTGATCCCTTCTAAAAGGCCCTTGTCAATGCAAGTTATCTTTCGGACACTAACAGGGTAGCGGAGGGATGAAACCTTTCCCACGAACCTTCTGAAACTTGGGTATTGTTTCACGAACATTCTAAAATTCGAGTGTTCTTCGAAGAGATCGTTGCGCAAATCGAGCACATGGACTTCTTTCCAAGCCCATCTCCACAGCCGGGACAATACAGAGGTCTGAACAGCTGATTTGGGGTGTCGAGAAATGAAAGGATGTGATGAAAAATGGGTTCTGGAAGATGGCTTAACCTGTCACAAGCCGCTATTGTATCTTCTTTACGGTGCCTTTTCCGAGCACTCCCCAAGCCATAGCTGCGGCTGCGCTTGTTCTTCTTCATAGCTTTCTACCGTAGGAAACAACAGATCATTCCAGTTCTCTATCGAAATCGAGGAATCGAAGGACCTAGAAACAGGAAAATGAAGCAAGAACAGAATTGAGAAGTAACACGCAGGAATTCAGTTGTTTCTGATGACCTTTACCTAGATAGAGAGACTCTTGCCTCTGTATCCTACCGCTGCGATCCGAACTTGCCGGAATCGCGACTTGACAATATGTACGTTCTTCGGCGTTCAGACTTCACAGAGTTCGGAATTCACCAATTTAGGGTTTTTTTTTTTTTAAACTTTTCTTGTCGTTGCTATATCAAATTACTTTTGGAGTTTTGGTCGTTTGGATCACTAGGGCTGAACAAAACAACCCGCAAACCGATCCACCCATCCAATTCTATCCAACCCACCCGTATTTATCGGTAAAATTAAGTTTTAAGGTTGGTGAGTGTTTTATTTTGTACAAATCGTCTCTATTGGATTGGGTCCGGATTTTGGGTTACACAACCCGTAGAATCCGACCTAACCCGTATTCCAACTATTGTCATAAATGTTCGTATCCAATACATATTTGTATTGTATATAAGCATATTTTTAAGAAAATTAAGATAATTTTATCATAATTTTCTCTTATGGTTTCTCTAGTCTAATACAATCTTCTACTTAAAAGTTTAGAAGTATATTTAATATAGGCTACAAGTCACATAATTTTGTGTGCGTACAATTTTAAAAAAATAATATATTATGAATGCGTTCACTTTAATCATTTTAGTTTATTTTGACAAATGTTTGTGGGAAAAACTAGACTTATGTTAAAGCAAATTGTACTTCATGAAAATAAAAATACCATTTATGCATTTTAATACTTTTTATTTCAATTTATTTGCTAAAAAATTTACCCGATTATATAATATTTTATAGAATAGTTGTCTTTTTTCATGTTGGGTTGGGTTTTTAATTAAAATTATATTCAACTCGACTCAACCCAACTATATACAAATCATAGGGTTCTAAATTTTTTGAATGAATTTTGATGTGATATTTTCAAAGCAATCGTTCTACGGATCGGGTGATTAAAATGGCCAAATTCGAACCACTCGAACAATGTACACAGATCAGGATTTTGACACCATCACATTATTGGATTTTAGCAAAAGTCAGAGTATTTTATTCATGCAGAATTTTGTAATCTCACGAGTGCGAATTTCAAAAATCACAAATAGGATAAACTATTTTGAAAATCATATTGTTGGATTTCCCTCAATTAATAGGGCTGTAAATTTACTTCACCTTATGGGTCGGGTTGGGTTGGGTTTTGTCAAACCCAAACGTATTGGTTTATCTGTGAAAAAAATTCCGGGGTAAAATTCATTGGGTTTGAAAAATTCAAACCCAACCCATTCCGTTGGGTATCCGCGGGTTCATGGGTACCCACGGGTTTCTATCGTAAAAAATTTACAATAACGAGTTCCTATCAAAACTAAAGTCAAATATCAATCTTTCAATACAAATTATCCATATATAAAACACTATTCTAGAAAATTCAAACAAATCACAAATTAACTATACAAATTGTTCAGCACCAATCTTAGTAACTCAAAAAAAATTGAAACAAATCACAAATTATCCATAAATAACATGATTAATTGAAAGTTTTTTCCTCCTTGTTAATTAAGTTTCTTCACTCCCCACTCGATAACATCAACTTCATTCTACACAATTAGAAAGAAAAAATTAGACATGTCTCCACAAACATAAATAAGATTAGTTGTTTAGAATATTAAATATACCGAGAAAATTAATTATATGAGTGTGGGCGGGTACCCATGGGGCAGGTTTACCTAGACCCAACCTGGTGAATAGTGAATGGGTTTTACACGCGTTGACCGGGTTGGGTCGGATGGGTACCCGTGGGTTCGGGTTTTGTTGCCATCCCTACTTCACCCGTCTCTGAAGGATCAAGTGGTATAATTGACATGTTCCATCCTTGTTGATCCTATCTGACTCTCTAGGGTCGGTTAGGGACCAGTGAGTGGGTCAACTCAAATCAAAATACAGATTTTTAAAAAAATTATATTTTCATATTCAATTTTTTTACAATTTGGTACCTAAATCATATTTTTGTTACAGATAGGTTCAAAAATTTTGATGGAAAAATTACATTTTAGTATCATTGTATTTTTATCTTGCAATATAGTCCCAAACTCTTAATACTTTATAAATAAGTCTCATGTGTTAGTAGGATAAATTCATATCACTAATTATTGCTAGAGTCACAGGGTGAAAAAGTGACATGTCCCTAAGTTGTTCCAACTCGTCTCGATTCTTATAGGGTCAACAAATGATTAGTCTCTAATCTAACCCTGTAGATAAACTGGTCGAGACGGGTCAGTGGGTCTTTAGGGTCAAGCTTACACCTATGGTAGTGCTAGGGAATAATAAATGAATCCCACAAAATTAACTCCATTAGACGCACATTGAGTTTGAGTAATCATGGACCAAATAAATTTGTGTCAGGGAAACTTGAAGGAAAGAATCGGATTGAAGGCATGATTAATCACTCTCCTTAGAGTGTTATTTGCCCCCACTACAAATTGCTGGTAGGCTCGAGCAAACCACCCCCAGGAGTCCCTTCAATTTTAAGTATGGAAGCAGCAATCTTGCAGACTTCTGTGTTTGTGAAATAGAGAAGGAAAACCGGAAGAAGAAGTAATATCTCGTCATTAAAAGAGTTATGGCAGTCATCTATTTATAGCTGTGAAAACTGGAAGTTACCTTCCGAAGAGTCACATCCCTTCACAGAAAAGGTAGTTACCTTTATGGAAGGACATATCCTTTCACAGAAAAAGGGAGTTACCTTTCTGGAAGGACACTTCTTTTCACAATATTCAAATATTAATTAATTAATTAAATTGCCAAAAGACTCAATCTTTATAATTTACTTCTCCCATCAATGTCGTATTACAACTCTATTGACTAACTCTAACAATTTGATCACTTATTTAGTCCATCTAAATGAATAACAAATATAGTATGTTTATAATTTGATGGTACACTTAATTTAGGAAATGAATTTGTCGGAAAAACCATCCATAGCTATCAGCATTCTCTCCCTCAACAATGGCGAAGGCTAAAGGAAAGACTTGTCTGTTTGCATCCGCCCCACTGGCAATCGGGAGAGTGCCCTTGTACTTGCCGGTAAGGAATGTACCATCCACAGTAATCACAGGGATACAAAAGCCAAAACCATCAATAGAAGGCTTGAATGCCCAAAACAGTCTGCGAAAATGGCGTTCGTTACCTGCCTCTGGGGGTTGTATCTCTTCATCTTGGTATCGAGGGGAGAACACAGTCCCAGGGTTAGACGCCTCCAATGCTAGTATTAGTCTGGGAAGGAATGCATATGATTCTTCCCAATCACCATAGACGGCGGCAATAGCTTTCTGCTTTCCATGCCACGCCTTCTTATAGTTAATCATATAACCAAAACGACTTGCAATGTCAGCGATTATGACTTTCACCTTAAGATCCGGTTCAGCCTCAATCAGATGCTTGATAGCCGCAGCAACCACCCTGGATTTCAACTGTCGATGGCCTTGGGAAGTTATGGATGACACACATGTGTGTGTGTTGACCGCACGGGATATGACCCAGTGGCCGTGTCTTTTGCTGTTGATGGCCCGAATCCTAACATTGCACCCCTCGTGATGATTACGGCATCTGACTATGAGCCTTTTGGTGTTGGAATGAGTTGTCGACCATTCAAAATGCCGAGTCATTGCTTCAGTCTCAAGGGCGTGCCGCACATCCTTCTTCGAGCCAAATTGTTGGCCCTTCGTAAACCCAGTTAGTGGGCCCCATATTGGGACCTCTGGCGGCTCCATGTCGCTGTCGACCATCCAATTGTCGTCTGGAATGTGATTGTAGTAGGGGACTGGTACACGGTCAGGAGCCACATCATGATCATTATCTGAATCTGAATCTGGTGCTGAATCATCAGCACCTTCAAGAGGGTCTGAGCTGTCTGCACTGACGTTGTTCTCTCCTTCTTCATCAGACTGGTGCTGGTGGGGAAAGGTCCATCTGATCCTGCTCATGAAAGGCACCTTCATCAGCTCCATAATGGTAGTTGTGAAAACTACCGCTGCCTGTCAAAAAGTTGTACTGGGCTTGGTTGGGGATGTCCGGTTGAACTTCTTCTTCATATGACAAGAAAGATTGATGATGGCCTGCACCTTGCCCTCCATCTTGGTACTGAAATAGGAATGAGGATCATGGTAACTTTGGTAGGGATGATCGTCATATAATTCACCTCCACCATGGATACCAGATGTTTGACCGTGTCCAGAATGACCTCCAACACTAACGGCTGGCTCGGTGTAAACGAACATCTCGGCTTTGGCCAATTTGTTGGACCTCCAGAATTCGAGCATGGAATCTACGTCATCTTGAGTGGTTATTGTATATTCCTCATGCCACAATGACCCAGTTGCTCTATTTGGGTATCGGTACACCATACGATCTACTCTTCTCGTGCCATCCATGCAAGTAACGTCAGTGCATATTTGATGGAGGTCTTCAATCTTCGGTCTGGTACCGACCCTTATTTTCTGAAAATTGCCACCGACGTAGGTGGCCCCCTTTCCAGTCTCTTCCGTGTAACCATTCCACCGTAAGCCAAGCGTTAACTGACGGAATGCCATCTGCACACAAACAAACCGTAGTTTAGTTAATATCATAAAAACCACAAATCACAAATAACAATAAAAAGTAACACAAAATAAAGTTACGAGTTAATGTTAATGGCATAAAAAGTAACACAAAATAAAGTTACGAGTTAATGTTAATGGCATAAAAAGTAACACAAAATAAACTTACGAGTTAATGTTAATGGCATAAAAAGTAACACAAAATAAACTTACGAGTTAATCTTAATGGCATAAAAAGTAACACAAAATAAACTTACGAGTTAATCTTAATGGCAAACACACTAAATAAATATAGATATACA